AGGGAGCTGGATAGGGATTGAGCTAGAGGATTTGGATGATGGATAAGGTTTTGGTGAAAGTTTGAGAATCTGGTTGGGATGATGTCGAGGACAAATGGGATGTTAAGGTCATGGTGTAGGGTCTTGTTTGTGACATAATATGGGGCATTGACTATTGTTCTAAGTACTTTGGACTGGAAGGATTGGATGCGTTTGATATTCGAATGTTTAGCAGTTCCCCACAGTTCAAGTCCGTAGGTCCAGATAGGTTTCAGTATGGTCTTGTAGATTAAAAGTTTATTTTCAATCGAAAGATGGGATGTCCTACTTAGTAATCTATACAGCTGGCCATATCGTCGGTTAAGTTCTTGTCTTTTAAGTCTGGTATGTGGGTTCCAAGTTAGTCTTTTGTCAAGAAGGAAGCCAAGGTAACGGACTGTGTCTGAGTAGGGAAGTGGAATTGAATTAAAAAGGATTGACGGACAGGATCTGCGTCGCAGGGTAAAAGTGATATGTTTGCATTTTGATTCATTGATTTTGATGCGCCAGTTGTTGCACCACTGCTCAATCAAAGAGAGGTGAGATTGTAGGTTTAGAGATGCTATTTGAGGATCTGAGTGGGAAGATAGAATGGCAGTATCATCAGCAAATGTAGCTAGAAATGTATCGGGATTTGAAGGGATATCGGAAGTGAAGAGGATATAGAGAACTGGGCCCAAGACACTGCCTTGTGGAACACCAGCCTCAACTGGATAGTAAGTGGAGAATGCGGTGTCACAACGGACTTGAAAGGAACGATTTGAGAGGTAGGATTTGAGGACTAGGTATAAGGATTGGGGTAAATGGGTTTTGAGCTTGAAAAGCAAGCCATCGTGCCACACCCGGTCGAAAGCTTGTGCTACGTCCAGAAAGGCACCAGTGCAATAATGCTTGTTTTCAAGTGCAGAGGATATATGGTCCACAACACGAAGGCCTTGTTGGACAGTGGAATGTCTTGAGCGGAATCCAAACTGATGAGAAGGGATGTTGTGGGATTCGATTATGGGTAGGATGCGTTTGAGAAGGATTTTCTCAAAGATTTTTGAGAGGATCGGGAGTAAGCTTATCGGTCTATAGGATGATGTGTTATTAACAGGTTTACCTGGTTTTGGAAACAGGATGATTATGGAATGTTTCCACACCAAAGGAAAGTTGGTTGTGCGAAGGATGCAGTTGTATAGATAGGTAAGGAATATGATTGCTTTTTTGGGAAGTTGTCTGAGGATTTGTGAAGTGAGGAGATCATATCCAGGGGATTTTCGGGGTTTTAATTTGTTTATAAGGAATTTGACCTCAGAGGGGTTAACAGGTTTTGGAGGTAGAGAGAGAGGAATTGGTGAAGAGAGGAATTCTTCAACTTCAGCAGTGTGGCTGGGATGGAGTTCGGGATGAGGGGTGAATGTGTAGGATAAATGTTTAGCAAACTCCTCTGCTCTATTCGCATCTGACGAAGCCCAGGAACCATCATCACGGCGAAGTGGATGGGAAATGGACTGGAATTTAAGGATTTTTTTGGTTACATTCCAGAGGGAGTTATCACTAGCGGATAATGAGGAGAGGTAGGAATTGTAGGATTGGGTTTTAAAAGTTTCCAGTTTCTTTTTTACCTGTTTGGAATAATAATTATACGATTTCCGGTCATCAGGATGCCTGGTTCTTTGCCAAAGGGTCCTAGAGCAACGTTTGCTATGGATTAGGTCCAATAGATCTTGAGGTAAAGGATTTATGTTATGGTATTTTTTGGGACGATCAGGTGAGGATGCAGTCCAAGCTGCTTGCTGGATCAGGGTAGTGAAGGAATGCACTGCATCGTCGAGGTCTTCAGGTGTTTTTAAGGAAACTCTGAGGTCAATATTATCTTCCAGTATTTGACGGAAAAGGTTCCAGTTAACTGGCCCCCTGATAAATGAAGGTGGGGATGATTTGGGAATGGGAGATGTGGAAACGGTTAGGACTAGAGGACTATGGTCTGAGGAAAGATCATCAAACCTTGAAATAGAACAGTGTAGTGATCCTAGACCTTTGTGGAGGAAAAAGTCTAGAAGGTCGGGATTGCGGTTGGGATCTGTTGGCCAGTATGTGGGTGTATTAGGTGAAAGGATGTTGCTGCGATGGGAATTAAGTGCAGATAGCAATGTTCGCCCTCGGGAATTTGTGGATCTGGCTCCCCATTGCTGGTGTTTTGCATTTAGATCTGCACCTAGGAGGAAGTGGTGTCCTAAGGAATTCAGGAAGGAAATTATTTGGGATTCGGAAATGGGTGTTTTAGGTGGGGAATATGCCGCAACTAGTGTTATTGGGTAAAGGGGTGTTTGGATTATTACGGCTGTGGATTGTAGGAAATTATGGCTTGGTAAGGGAAACAAATGATGGGAAACGGATCGATGGATAATTATGGCAGTGCCACCATGTGCTGTTCCATCAGGATGGTCGGTTCGATAAATATTGTAGCCGGGCACGTTGATTTGTCGTTTGTTGGTTAGTCGAGTTTCAGTTATTAGTGCTATGTCGATGTTTTTGTCATGTAATAAGATTGTCAGTTCGTTGATGTGGTTCCGAATACCATTCGCATTCCAGAGGAGAATGGAGAGGAATTTGGTTGAGGACATTTATGGATTTATATCTAATTTTAACGTTATATTATTGTCCCTTGACCTTCAAAACACAAGTGTACTAAATATCAAGTTAATCCGACATCATTTGCGAGTTCTATGCCTATGGCCACTAAAATTCGTCTTTTGTCTTACTGTGCGACAGCCTTATCAACTAAGTAAATTTTGTACAAATCATCAAAAATAGATTTCTATTCCCAATCAAATATATTTGTTTCAAATATGGGCTTATCCCTTGATAACTCTGAAGTTTCCTGCAATTTTCTCATTTCCAAAACACTATAAATCCTGTAATTTTAATTATAAACACTTAACACTGGTGGAAGGGGCTTTTGGGCTGAAGTTTTGTTTAAGAAAAATCTCAGAAATTGGGAGTTTTGAATTAAAATAATTCATTAAAAAAGGTAATAAAAACTCTCAAATACCCATTTACTTTCCACTTGATAAAGATAATTTGATAAAAAAATCGAAATAAAAGAAGGGCTACAAAAATATTGGGCCGTTTGGCCTATATAACCTCGTTATTTTGTCATGTTGGGTGTGGAGGTCAAGCCAAACGGCCGAATATTTTTAGGAGACATTTTTTTAGATTTTGTGATCATATTATCTTACGATTCAAGTGGAAAACAAATGCGTGTTCATAAGTTGTCAGTACTTGATTAAATAGACAAAGTTTGCCGACCTCCAGATTGAATTGCCACGGTTCCGAAAATTTTCTTAAATAAAAAAGTTGTTGGTTGCGATGAGATGATGTTATTTTAAGTTTTAAGTTAACTAAGTTTTAGGCGAAAATTAATAATTTGATAAAAATGGGTCTGTAGCACGGACTATTATATTTAAATTATAATGAATATGAAACAACTAATGTAAGCACGTGCCAAGAAAAAATATAAGAAAACTATCTTTGATAGCATTATCGTAACTATAATTATCGTTTTTTGCCTTCAAGAATAAAATAATCATCAATTCATGAAAGTAATTTTTTTCAATGTCTTCCAGAGTTATTAAAAATATAAAAAAAGCACCCCCATAAAAAAAAAATAAAAAAAAAATTAACTCCTGGATCCACTATTGACGTGTTTACTTTATCGAATCCCGATGAGTTTATGTAATTCTCAATTCATGGAATTTAAGTTATACCTTAAAGAAGTCACTGCCACTGACCGTTCTAATTAATTTTCTTGGATTTGTTTCAAACTCCCCAGCTTTTATGACTCGCAAGAGTATTGGAAGAGTGCAATGCCTGGCTATTCGTCATTGAATAGGGATTGTCTGCATTTATATCAAACCTGGCATCACTACTGTGCACTAGCCGCCAACCTCCCGATCTTGCAATAACTAAACGTGATCACCAGATTACATCAAAAACATGTAGGCGATTTGAACCGAATAAATCCGAAAGATCCAAACAATTTTTTGTCAACACATATAAAACATTCCACGAAAATTTTACTCAAATAACCCAATCAACATAACCAATCGAAATTATGACAAATACGAGGAATATCAAACACAACTGTTCTAAACAAAAAAAAAAATTAATAACCATTAACTATTCGTATTGCAACTTAATATCTTCTTTCAGATAAAGTCCAACACTTAATTACCATTGCAGTTTCTTGAAAGATGCAAAGCCTTCAGAATCGGTTAATATACTTATACTTTGAGTAGCTGCTTACAGCCCTAATTTTAGTTTTATAGATCGTTCCGCTACAACTTCATTTAATTAGTTACTCATTTAAACTTGACGATACTGTGTTGAGGCACTATCAAAACCACAAGTTATGAAGAAAATATTCAGAAGTTGCGGGAATCCGGAGGGAATTCTAGTCTCCAGTTGATACTGACCACTCCACTATCAACACAATCTCACAACTTCACAAAATGTATTTTTTTTTTTTTTGTACGAACAATACTTTTATCCCAAATGAGAAGAAGAATATATTCTCTAAGAATATGAATATATTTGAAATATATATATATAAAAAAAATAAATAAGTGAACGATTATGGATTTCAATTTTATCCTATTTTACTGAATTCGGATATAGGTCTTATTGACAAAGTAGAAAACAGCAAATGTTTCAAATATTATGGGGCACCAAAGATTTATAATGGTAACTTAAAATCTGTTATTGAAATTAATGTCAACCTTATCAACCGAATGATAAGAGATCAATTTTTCGTTGAGTGACAATGTATTTTAAAGAGAGAAAGAATTTACAGAATCTTCTGGGATTCATTCAGTGATCGGGGCGTCGGATAGGGTTATTATCTATTGATAAGACAACACAACAATAGAAAGCCATACGATAATGGAGTAAGAGATTATGTTTGACAAGGAAACCGAAAGAAGAGAACTCATGCTCACTGTCATGGTCTGGATGAGGAGTGTCGTCTGCCTCTGAAGTTCTTCCTTCTTGAGGCCCCTGAAGTTGGGCAACTTGTTGAGCGACTTGTGCCGCATCTGGTCCATGGCAAGGAGAGTCCAAAACTGAGCTGGGCGAGAAGCTGCACATGCGCCCTTTCCTTTGGCACCCCTCGCGACCATTCTCAACCTCCTATCAGCCGTTATCTTTAGCCACTAGGTCCCGAGGCACGGAGCCGAACGCCTACCGGTTCGCTTTAGTTCGTTTACGCCTTCCGATTCGGCGAATGTTCTAGCGACAATGCCATGTCTCTTCATCGACGTAGTAATTCAAATTCATTCATAACTCTCCGTTCTCGTTTAGTGGTCCCTTCATCTCCTGCGAGGTTATGTCAGATTAAGTTCCTCTCAAATGGTTGGAAAACGTGTACAGAGATTGTGAGGCATCGTCATGATTCTTCAATCAGGTAAAATGGTCGTTAAATATTAAAATTAAGGTATACCTAATGGATATAAAAAAATGCATAATATTCACAATAGAAAAACTGTAGATGACAAGTCAAGATTTTTAGACTTAATGATAATTCAACACAAACAAACACAAAATAGGCTAAAAATATATATAAAAAGTGATAGACTATTAAATTACCATAGCCAACATCCAAAATATCAAATAATAAACAAAGCAAAAATCTCATTGGTAGAGCATGTAAAATTACAGATGAAAAAGAGAGAGAGAATCACTTTATTATCATAAAAGGGTGCTGCCCAATTACATTGGGTTGCTTTAAACACAGCATACTTATTAATCGCTACAGACAATTTTCCAAAACTAATATACAATTATATAGTATTAACAATGTGTATGAGCATATTATTTTTTTAAATATTTTTTTTTATCTATATATATATTTTGTTTTACTTTTTTTATTTTTACTATTTCTTTCAATCATTTATTAGCATTATATATCCCTTTCTCTTCCTTCTCTCCCCTTATACATTTTTATCATTCCCTAGATTCTCTCCTCTCTCTTCCTAACCTAATTCATAAAATGCATACAAATACATAAAGTGCAGTGGACGTGGTCAATGTAAAAATACTGTAAAACATGCCTTCCCCCATGAACATCTATCTATCCATGCACATGGTGATGGATAATTCCCAGGGAGTCGAGAATTATATCTACCGCCATAAAAGAAATAAAAACAGAAATTTATAATAGTTTGATTCAAAATACGTTCCCCAAACCAATCATTAAAAAAAAACGCGGTTTCATATTAATAAACAAAGAAAAAATACAAAAAAAAATTTTTTTTTGATAAAATAGAAAATAACCAACACTTGCAACCTTTAATCCATAAAAAATTTCAAAACAAAATAAAAGTTAGCCAAAAATCCATAAAAGATTTTTTTACATCTAATAATTATATAGTGATAGAAAAAAAACATGGAAATAAAAAATAACCGTAACAAACGGGAAAATGAGTCTGGAAAACAAAAAAAAAAATATTACAGATTAAATTATATCGCTACTTTAACACATCAAATTAAAAAAAAAATATTTAATGATAAAAACTGTGAGATAAACACAGGTTTATATAATAATAACAAAATAAATAAACAGCTAAGTCAGATGAAAGATAAAATAAATATGTTAAAACAAGGTAGATTGTAATAATTGTGAATCGACATACATGGCCGAAACGAGACAAATTATAGAAAAAAGAATGAACCAACATTTTAATGATTCAAAAAATAGTGTAATAGACAATAAAACGGTACCCTAGCCCACCATAGCATTACAACATACATTCAATGTAACACAACCACAAATATTATAGAAAGAAACAAATAGTACATAAAGAAAAATAATAGAATCCATATTTATCATTAAACATACGAAAAAAGCAATAAATTATAAAACGGATGCAGCTAAAATGGGGAGCCATTATGCTTATATAATTAACAAATTAAATATATAAAAATGTTTCGGAATTTGACCCTTTATTCGAGGTTTTGTTCAGTATCTGACAAGGCTCTCTCTAGAGGAGTCCACAATATAATTTATATAACAAATAAAAACGTAAAATTATTGTATTTTATGGATGAATTATGAAAATATAAAAATAAAAAAATGGTGGCAAATCTTATTAAAAAAAAAAAAAAAGATGATATTAGGATGAGATACTGGTAAGATTGGCAATTTCTGTTATTGTTGTTAAAAGTTATAATAAAAACAATTTGTATTGATAGTATAAAAATATAAATAACAAAAATATTCTAATTTCTAGTCTGAAAATGGGATGAGAAAGTGGATCCCGCGAAACGTCATAAAAATAAAGAAAAATTGTTGGGAGAGTAAATGCTGTTATTAAATCATACATATATACCTGAGATAAAAATTATCTCCCTTTGAACTTATGATGAAATTAAAATTGTAAGCCTAAAGACTATATTTAAAAAATATATATATATGTATATACAGGGTGTGCCGTAAGTAAAGGGAAATATTTTTGTTAGTAGGGGTTTTAAGCTTTAAAACCTCGAGATCATCAACGCCTGTGTTTAATTATGTTTATCTGAACTTGATTTTAATTTTTAATTTTTTTTTTTATTATGATATTTACAACTGTATTAGTATGAATACATGTAGTAAATTTGTACAGAGAAATATTATTACATGAAACACGCTTGTTGAGAAACTACCCACTGGTAGCACTCCAATCATTTTTTAATTTTAAATTTTGTTTAACAAGTTGTTTAATTTTTTGTAAATTTAACACTAACTGTACTGTGTCTACGTCATTTTCCAGGATGTATGATATTGGCGGTGTGACTTTGAAACTTGTTAAATTCGAGATATAGAAAGAACATTCCTGAAAAATGTGGCTAATTGTAAGTCTACTATTACAGTAAAGGCATTGCAAAGGGAAATAATTAAAGGGATGATTTCAGATGTCAAGAGCTACAAAAGTGTTCATATAAACAATGGTTCGATTTCCCGCAAAAAAATTTAAGTTTTGTGAAGTGATAACTATAAAAATATTTTTGTTTTCCTTTGGAAATATTTATTTATTGAACAAAAAATACATTTTGCCTCAATTGAGGACATTAGCATTTGAGATGTAAGAGATGTAACTCATTCATAACATATATACAATAACAAAAAAAAACCCATGATAAAACGGAAGAAATAAAACAACAGACTACGTTAAATAGCAACATAAAAATACATTCATACTTATATAAAAATAATTAATTTAAGTAATCAACAACTGCTTCATTGCAAACTAGAAAAAAGTTACTTAAAATAAAAACGGAGTTTGCCATTGTTGAAATCATTTAAAGAGAACTATTGAATGGTTAAACTAAGTTCTGTTTTTAAAATTATCATGAATTATTCTTGATTTTTTTCTTTTTATCCCCATTCAACTGATGCTAAACTGAATTAAGTTCTACTTTGAAAGAAGTTCATATATAATTCGAGATTTTTTTTTTTTATCGTCTTCCAATTATACTATAGATACACAACCTTTAAAAATAACTTCTTTCTTTAATAAGGTTTGAGGTTCATTCCAAAATAAGTGAGATTCATCTCAAGTTGTTTAAAAATATTGTTTGATTTGATATCACGTCAGCTGAAAGTACCGGTGTTTTCAGCAAAAATGACTACAATTAACTATTGCAAAGCTTCTGTTTCTTGCTTTTTTGCCATGATCTTAGATGTGTTTACATAAATATAATCGCCTTAATACACTTTTTATTTATTAAAATAAAAAATTTAAAAATAATGATTTTTTAAAAATATTTTTCATTTGAGATGGTTATAACTGTGCATTTCTCTGCCATAGGAACCGATCAGTATTTATAAGTGACAAATTTAATGAAAGTGAAAAATTATATTATTTGCAATCCCGTCCGTTTGAAAATACCAGTGTTTTCATTAAAAATGACTACAATTAAGTATTGTTATTTACTTGTTTAACAAGGAAGTATCTTTTTTTTTTTTTTTTTTTTTAAAGTGAGGTGATTCTAGTTAAGTTGAATCGTGATAAAAAAAAAATATTATCAACGATTATAATATAAACATAACATAGAGTATTTTAAAAGTTCATTTGTTTATTAATTACAACCCATTTATTGATTTTATTGTTTTTTTTAGAAGTTTATTTATTTATTTATTCTATCTTATTATGTATAAGTGTCTATTATTATCTTTATTTATTTATTTTAATCTATCAATCCTTTTATTTATATTTTATACTTATTTTTTCTATATTTATTTTTTGTACCAACCATCCAAACAATATAAAAGTAGTGTTATTTAGTTGATCGGGCGCTGATGACCTGGATGTTTTGCGCCGAGACATCGAAACAAACGAAACGAAACGTGCTTTTCCCGCCTGTCTAATCTATTACATGTATGTGTTTTTTGTCACTAACCATTTGTTTCTACAACTGTATATTTTAATTATAATAAATAATAGAGTATCATACATTTTTTTAGTCTGAATGTTTGATCGCGCTTATTAAAAATCGATGTTTTATTTAATTCGGTCGTTTTTTTTTTAATCTCATAGTATAATTTATAGTGTGCCTAACACATTTTTTATTTAATTATTGGCTTGGATCTTATAGGTTAGCAGTTCTATTTAATTTTTGGTGAAACTGTGGGTGACAACTAAACCTTCAAACATCAAATCTATCCAATCCTTTCAATCCAAAGACCTTCGAATAATAGCTAATGCTCCATACTACGTCACAAATAAAACCCTATATCATGATCTCAGCATCCCATTTGTCCTTTACTTAATTCCATCCAGATTCTCAAACTTCCATCAAAAACTTATTCATCATCCTAATCCCTTATCACAATACCTCTCTAGCTCTAAACATCCACATATAACCCCCACGAAGGTTGAAACGCCAATGGTCCCGAGACCTTTTGTAAATACGCTATTGAAGTCCTGAGCGTATGTGGTGTTAGTGCACTCACTGAGTAATGTAAATTATTGTATATAGGAATGGATGTGTGACAAGTATTTTTTTCTTTTTATTATCCCTTTAATTTTATTTTTATTTTTACAAGTATTTTGTATTTTCATTA